AGGGGACTCCGAACACGGAAGTCCACAACAGACCGGAGCACTTGCATAAGGCTCGAGTTGTCCCAACGGACTTCCTTCGGGAAGGACTCACGCGTGATCTCTGTCGCAACCCTCTGGAAGAGCTCGTGCACAGTGCCACAGGGGGGAAAGGAGGCCACCCTGTGCATGACAGCTTCAGTATTCCTAGCATCCGTTAGCATATCGGGGAAAGTGTTCACCAGAGTAAGTACCTTTCGAGAGCTGTCACAACACCGCAGTTTAGCAGTGAAAGAATACGGCTGCAAACTCACTCCTGAACGCTGTAGAGCGACCATGAGAAAAGTCTGAGGTTAGCCATTAGAGCTCAACAGATGCACTAACCCTTGCGGAACTGAACAAACATTAATGTCAGAAACACTCACATGTCGGAAACAGACTCTCGTTGGTTGTTCGTCAAATTCAAGAGTTCAAAAGCCTTCCGCACCTGCTCTCTCGAATGGTTCGCGAACCCAGCTAATCCCACTCCAGCTCCATCGACTTCAACCACTCTTTCCTGCCCATAAATCGCTCTAAGAATCCTCAGCCTCAGCTTATCCGCTTGGAGATACGGACTCCTCGAGTGAACTCTGCCCTGACACTCTATTAGAACCTCCGGCTCTCCTCCAGAGCCGACAATCGCGGCGTCAATATACCAACGTGTCTTCGGACACTGCCACTCGTCGACAACTCGAAGCTCCGTGGCACAGCTTGCTAGGGCCTCCCGCACTCCTTTATGGCCGCTATTCTGAACAGCCGAAGACTGGATACCCAGATGCCGCCCCTGACAATGTTGTGCCGTCTCGGCGAGCAACGCTTCCAAGCAGGCTGACAAAGGCATCTGCCACTCATATTTCGCGCAGAGCAAAAACCAGTTGACCAGCTTAGCAGTGCTAGCCCTGTCGTGGTCCGGCTTGTGCCACATCTCCGCAATCTGCAGAGCATTGGACATGAGCTCTTTAACCTTCATCCGATAGGATTCGTTCAGATTCCCCGGATCGGCGAACATCGCCAACGAGCTGCAGAGCCCGGCAATTGAGACCTCGTCGAACCCACTGCTTTTTCTCTGGCCATAACGGAACAATTCAACCGCGATGTCTTCGATACCTTCCACATGAGCTGTGCTCGCGACGACATACAAGAGCCGATTAAAGGCGTTAGGTTCGAGTTCAATAGATCCTGCTATCGTCCGGCGAGCGCACTCCTGCGCAAACTTCAATTCTGACTCGGTAAGTCGACACTGGCCACCATACAAGACTGCGTGAATAGCCATGATTTCCTGAGCCTCGGTCAGACCTCCAAACTTTAACGGCAGGCCTTCCGCCTCGCGCAGATAAGAGCGAACCTTCGTCACGAACTTTCCAATATCGCCCATATGTGAAGCGGAAGCCAGCCCAACGAGGACACCATTAGCTGTTATACTGAACTGAGCTGGTACCATTTTGCTTAGCCCATCACTCGAGACCAAATACTCAGTGAACTTCCATATAAGCTTGGACGGTGGGTATGCGAATTTGGATGCACTTCGACAAGCAACAGATATTTCGCGGGCATCCCATTTACTGGGATCAATAACCCTGCAACACTCATCAATGAACGGTCGCACTTCTGGCAGTTCTGGGCATCACTACAACGAACGACCATATGGAGAAGCATAGCGATCTCTGGAGGCTTGAAGTCCTGCAGTCGTGGTATTGCATGACTGAGAGTGGCCTTCATCAGTTTGAGCCCTCTGCACCACGATGGTCCGCTAGCACTGTGATCGCTCCC